GGCGCGGGAGCCGTACTGTCACAACGTGGCCAGGACTCCAAACTCCATCCCTGCGCATTCTTTTCCCGGAAGTTCTCTCCTACCCAGCAGAACTATGGGGTCGGGGACCGGGAATTGTTGGCGATAAAGTGGGCCCTGGAGGAGTGGCGACAGTGGCTCCTGGGTACCCCCACTCCTTTTCTAATCTGGACTGATCATCAGAACCTCATCCATATTCAGACCGCTCGCCAACTCAACCCTCGTCAGGCCCGGTGGGCCCTCTTTTTCGAACCTTATAACTTTCACATCGCCTACCGCCCCGGCTCAAAGAACCTCAAGGCGGACGCCCTGTCCCGTCAACACACCCAGGATCCAAGGCCTCCTGAACTGAGGTCCATCCTCCCGACCGAACGGTTCTTGGCCGCCCTGCAATGGCCCCTGGAAGCCTCCATCCGGGCGGCTCTCCCGGCGGACCCGGCGCCCCCAGAGACGCCTCCTAACCGCCTTTACGTTCCGGCCGTGTGTCGACAGGAGGCCTTGAGGTGGGGGCATAGTTCACGGCTAGCGGGACACCAAGGCCAGGCTCGTACCTTCCAGTTCCTCCGCCGGGCCCTGTGGTGGCCCTCTATGAGAAAGGACGTGCGTGAATACACCGCTGCATGTGACACTTGCGCCCGGTCTAAGTCCACCACCCAACCTGGAGCCGGGGAATTGCAACCGCTCCCTGTGCCTAAAAGGCCGTGGTCGCACATAGGTGTGGACTTTGTCACGGGGCTTCCCGCTGCCGACCACCTGGACACCATCCTCACCATCACCGACCGCTTTTCGAAGGCTGTGCACTTAGTGGCTATGGCAGGGCTCCCCACGGCTAAGAAAACGGCGGAGCTCCTCCTCGATCATGTGGTGAGGCTCCACGGATTCCCCCAGGACGTGGTGTCTGACAGAGGGCCTCAGTTCATCTCACGTTTCTGGAAGGCTTTCTGTCGGTTGGTGGGCGCTTCCGCCAGTCTGTCGTCAGGCTATCATCCCCAGACTAATGGTCAGACGGAGAGAGCAAACCAGCAGCTTGGGCGTTACTTACGCTGCTTCGCCTCGTCTCAACCGTCCACCTGGCCTCGTTACCTCCTATGGGCGGAGCTCTCTCACAACCTCCAGACGTCCTCCGCCACGGGTCTATCGCCCTTCGAGACCTGCTACGGATACTAGCCCCCTCTTTTCGACCATCAGGTGCCGGAGGTGGAGGTTCCGGCGGCTCAGGATATGGTCCGCCGCTGCCGTCTCGCTTGGATCAGGGCTCGCGCCGCCATCACCCGGGCTAATACGGAGTACTCCCACAACACCGCCGCCGCCACCGGCCCGGCCCTGTGTTCCAGCCTGGTGACCGGGTTTGGCTCTCTACCGCAAACCTCCGGTTTCCGGCTGGTTCCAGGAAGCTGTCGCCTCGCTTTTTGGGGCCCTTCCCAGTCCGAGATGTCCTCGGTCCGGTCGCTTACCGGCTGCGCCTCCCTTCCACTCTTAAGGTGCACCCGGTATTCCACGTCTCACAGCTCAAGCCGGTGGTGTCTTCTCCTCTCCATCCGCCTCCGACCCGGGTGCCGACGCCCCGAGATGTCGATGGAGACCCCGTCTACACCGTCCGCAAGATTCTGGACGCCCGCCGCCGGGGCCGTGGATGGCAGTATTTGGTGGACTGGCAGGGTTACGGTCCGGAGGAGCGTAGCTGGGAGCCTGCCCGCTCGTTTCTGGATCCTTCCCTGTTGGCTGATTTCTGGTCTCGTCGCCCTGGGCCTTCTGGAGCCGTCCCTCGCGAGGGGGGTCCTGTCATGAACTCCTCCTCTTAACCTCCTCTGCGGGCCGGGCTGGCGCTGCACTCCAGTTCCCAGCATGCCTGTCACCGACGCTTCCCGGTGACGTCATCCCGCTGAGCCTATTTAAGGACCTGTCACAGCGGAGCCGGCACTCAGTCATCATCTAACGATAGACGCCAAGCCATTCTAAGACCTAAGACACTAACTCTACGAACCATACGGGAAGACAACTTCCCACGCTGCCACATATCAGTCTCCATCCACCATTCTCTCCGCGCCTGGGTCTCATAACCACTCCAGCTCAGCCCATCGAACCTGACAGAAGCCCTCAACTTACACACACAGAGGGAGCCTGAAAAAAGATCCAGTGTCTACCTATATTATATTATTTATATGGACTCTCAGAGTTTAGTAAGTAAGTACATTTTATTTATCACAGACATCGAAGCACCAAGTGCTTCACATAGATCAAAACAAAATAAAACAAAGTCATAAAATCATAAATAGATTAGCATCATAAAATCAAAATGCTCTCAAAACAGAACCAGATTTACATCAGAGGAAATAAAGTCATAAAATTATACTATTTCATAAACAGATGAAAGATTAAAAATTTGAGTTAAAAATAAGAAAATAAAAGGTTTAGTTAAAAGCAGCTTTAAATAAAAGGCTCTTTAGCCTTTTTTTAAAGTGTCCAGACTGTTAATGCTGCTTTTACAGTTAAAGTCCACATTCATGAGAAAGAATTGATGTTATTCATTACTTGACTGTTCGTTCAAGAAGAGCTCTGTTTGTTAACAGAGTTGTTAAATGATAAAGTAATAAATAAAAAGTAAGAAACATTCTGGATCTGTTCACTTTCTCTATTCTATTTCGATGTATCGAAAGTATCGGATCGGGACTCGGTATCGGCAGATTCTCAAAATCAAATGACTCGGACTTGGACTCAGGAGCTAAAAAACCTGATTGGGACACCCCTAGTCCTAGCCTTAAGGACACGTAACATCTGGAATGTTAATAAAGGGTTTGTTCACTACTGTTGTTTATTAAAGATTAATAATGCACTAAGTAACGTTAATAAAGTGACCCATCTGTAAAGTGTTACTCCATGTTTTCTAGTGTTAGAGTTTTCCTCGAGTGCCTGGTAGATTCATCAGAAACAGGTACTACTCTAGTGTTTAGTTACATTTTTTCTCTAGATCAGTGGTTCCCAACCTTTTTTCACAAGGACCCCCCTTCCTGAGTCGAAGACAAGCCAGGGCCCCTCAACCCCAAATCTAGAGGTGTGAATATTCACTCTTCTCCCGATTCGCTTCGATTCGATTACTGGGTCAACGATTCAATTCGATTCTATATCCCGAAGCATCACGATTATTTCATATTGATTTGTTTTCAACGATAAATAGAAGATGTCAGATAATTGCTTTTTATTTTTTTTATCTAAAACGTAATTGACACAACCTGCCATCCCTCAAAATCTCTCCATCCACAACAGGTTAGGACAAAACATTTAAACATTTAAGAAGATTTAACAAAGTAAAACATATGTTTCCTCGTTCAACACCACGCCTCAGGCTGAGAAAAACACGCTTTGCAAAAACTCACAAAATCTAAAAAAGTACTGAAAACCTACAGGACACATAATGTAATAATAAAATCCATAATGGGTTCATATATGAGTGTTTAATGTCTCTGAGCAGCTCTAGAGTCAAATATTTGTGCCACAGTTGAAGGGTGTCAGAAATAACACCAAATTAAATGTTTGACTTAGTTTATTTTATTTGAACCCAGTGGTTCGTTTCTGAAATGTTGGAGAATGAATCAAGTTCTGTTTGATGCAGAAAATAAAATATAAAACAAATTCTACACTTCCAATAATATTTAAGATGTGTGTTTTATTCTTTCTGATAACACCAGCAGAAGGCTGTGGGCTGGATTAGGATTAAATTACCCAGCTGATGGATCTCCTTCACTAACCAGCTAACTACAAACCTTTCCACTAACCTGACCTGTGTCACCCTCATGTCCATGCTGTCTCTGGAGGAGCAGACAGGAGACAAGACCTCCTGTAACTTCAAATGAACCAAAGCCTCCTCCCAGTTTCTCTTTCAGCTGAATTTAACATCAGTTTATCATCATGAAAAAAAAGAATAAAGTGGAACAAGAACTTCTATTTCTCTCTCCTTTTAACTTCTCCGTGTCCCTAAATAAAAGAGACAGACGATCACGCTGCAGCCGCCGTCACTGACCCCGCCCCCTCCCCAAGACCGGATCTCCCTACATCACAGCACTCGGTCTGACTGAGCGCTTCCAGGAGAAATAATAATTAAATTATGAAAATAATAACGCGTGTTTGGAGCATCAGTTTGGAGGAGCGTCCTCCGATCGTCTCTCTTGTGTGAGCAGACAGTGTCTCTCTCTCTCTCTCTCTCGGTCGCTGATCGAGGGAGCGGAGCGCGCCGCATGACAACCCGCTCAATTAACATCATTCACGGCCCAAATCCAACAGAACCGGTCGGGCTGATTCGGTTCCGGTTCGGTCTCGGGTGACAACTCTAGCGCTCTGCCCTGCAGTACCACATTAAGGCGGAGGTAAATGTGGACGACGCTCACTCTGACAGATGTGGATGCTGCGCTGGTGCCGCCGTTAAAAAAACAAAACTACATTCCACTATAATCGATTATGGCGTACTCTTCTACGATGCAGAATCGTTTATGTCCGCATCCCGATGCATCGATTATTTGATTATTTTCCTCAGCTCTACCCAAATCCTACCACATTAAACACGATTAAAAGTGAATAATCACAAACTTTATGCAGACATTCACAGTTATGGCTCTTACAGAGTTTGGATTGTACTGTTGGGTGTGTTATTGAATCTTGTAACCTCACAACATCAACACAGACAAAATGATGGGGACCCCCATGTGGGGTCATGGACCCCAGGTTGGGAACCACTGCTCTATATTACTGTCACAAAAGGGACATAGACCTATAGACTTTCTATCACAGAGCTGCTGATGTCGTCGTCCCCCAGGCTTAACTCCTTTTCTGGGGGAAACCCTGCTCATCTGAACCTGTATGATTTTTGCTGGAATTTTATGTCTTTAATGTGAACCCACTCGAGCTCTTTCAGGTTTTATATTTGGGTCCAAAACTGAATAATTATGGGTCTGGAGATGGTTGTAAGATAAAGACAGTGGGAAACTTACTGCCTGGAGCTTGGTCATCCTGGTCATCTGGGAAGAGGTCATCCAGAGTCTCTTTACTCGTGTCACTGTCTTTCTCCTCCTAGGAGGACAAACGCAGAAGAGAAAAATAAAAGATTCTTCAGCATGGAGGTTTATCTGAAGCTATAAGAAGAACCAGTGATGAAATCACTCAACATTAATTAATATTAACATTTTTAATCCTCTGTAGGATCAACACAGAGCTCATTAAAGTTCAGACATGACACAAATAAAAATTTATTATTTTCTTTTTCCACTTTTACAAATAAAGCGAGCTTACAGAGGAATTACCAGTGGGTTTGGATCAAATACACCAGGAGGACCCTGCAGCTGCAGCTAACATCTACCTCAGCATCAACGGCATCCTCCACAGCTTCACAACACAAGGAACAAAGACTTGAGCACTCACGGAGGGGGACAGGTCCTCATCATACTTCTTCAGCTGGTTCATGAACTCCAGGTGCTTCTTCTCCTCCTCCAGCTGGGCCACGCTCTGCTCGCTCTTTTGCAGCTTCTGCTGCGTCCCCGCTAACTCGTCCCTCAGCCACTGGTTCTCCTGGCAGAGCCGGCGCACCTGAGCACGCAGCTTTTGCTTCTCTGATTCAACAGAGCTCAGGTGGCTTGACAGCGCCATCATCACCTAAGCAAAGAGGGGGTCAGACCGTTCTGGATCAGCAGGGTTTTAAAACCGTCCCTTTAGATTACAACCCTGTCGTTTCTGTTTCTCTTTGTTTTAGTTAAACATAATAATAGCAGCACAGAACGTTTAGCATGTTTTTATAATAAAAGCATAATTCATTTGTACTTCAGAAACAACCCATCTCTCCTTCAGACACTGATCAGGAGTAATTTCATGTCATTGAGAGGCACTTTAGGTAACTGCATCGTCCTAAAACATCTGGTCTGAGGAGAAACACTGGGAGAGAAGGGTTCCCGGCCTGGAGACTTTAACAGACACGGTAAGGTGACTCTTGTTCGCATTGCAGGATTTTTAAATGATCAGACGATTTTCAAAACATGGGGGACCACACGCGTGGTGATAAAAATCACATGCTGTGGTGTTCAGCAACACAGCCAAAACCACACAAACCAATTCCACACACACACAGTACAGGCCGCAAGTGTGGACACACCCCTGGGTTTCCCCCAGCGCTTTATAAGCCTGGCGGCTCGCCAGGCTTTGGTTGGCCACCCGCCAGCCTAAGCGTCATGCCCCGCCCCCCTCCCCTACCCTACCGTGTCCGCTGACACGAACGTCGCAACGAAACTAGAGAAGCCTAGTGAACTAGACCAAATTCTTGCTTTGCAAAGTTTGGTCTAGGCACGCTCCATTGGAACCTCAGCAGCTCCTACCAGGACTCTGGCTAGCCAATCACAGCTCTCTAGAGGGGTTTCAAACACATAAAGAGCTGTGATTGGTCCATAATGTTGGGCCAATCATAGTGCTCTATCTGCTTAGTGAACAAATCACAGAGCTTTATCCGCTTTGTGGGCCAATCAGGGCACTCTATACGCCTGGTGGGTGGGATAATGCAACAGAGTGAAACAAGAGTATGTCACATTCATTGTCCAGTGGAATGCGGAGATCATTTGAAAGACAACGGTAGAACCCGCCCCACAACCGAGAGCCGTCAATGGAGCGTGGCCAGACTAAATAATACATTTATTTAGTCTGGCTTGCCAGGCTAAAACTAGAGCCCTCCATCAGCTGATACTGGTGAGAAACAGCAGCGGAACGTGTGCAACCCCCCACCCCCGCTCTCACGGAGGAGCGCTGCGGGACGGAGTGCGTGACTCAACATGCATCCAACTTGTCCTTTAAGAAAAAACACGTTTTTAAGCTGAACGGACTCATGTGCATCGGCCTTATTTTTGTAGAACTGTTGTCTTTTTCCCACCGTCCATCTGAATGATTGTGTTGAAGTGAGAAGGGAGAACTATTAGCTGAACCAAGCGTTTTGTTCACCACTAGGGTTTTTCCTCGTTTTTGAGGATATTAACAGTTAATCCGAGGGTTAAGAAGGCTTAGTCTAATTTCCTCATCTTTTTCTTCTGAAAACCATCAATAGCTCCGGCGCCTCTGCAGTTTCCTCTGTCACGTCTCTGCTTCATCTGCTGAGTTAAATCGGCAGCCTGAGCGCTGCTGCCACCTAGTGACTGGAGGATGGGTTCAAGCATGAAAAAAATGCTAAAATTAATGGATTCTCCTTGTGAACCGGGCCTAACCTCTACTTTCAAACCAGTGTGAAATGTCCGCGAAACATACTTCGCAGCAATTAGCCGCTGTTACAGTAGACGGGTTCTTTTCCACCGGCTGTGAAGTTTAACATTTTTGACAAATTCCAGAAGTATAAGAACACATTGCTTACATTTCAAGTAGGGATGTTCGATATTGGTTTATTTATTTTTTTACAGATATCCGATATTTACTCTTAATTTACATTGCAGATATAGATTGATACAAATATTTGCGGGTTTCCCCTAATAAAACAAAAAATAAATAAATCATTTAGGTTGCTAACATCACATATCTCCAATAATGCATGCTTAAGCTTTAAACATTATCCGTGCAAAAAGATGACAACTTCAATTTAAGTGTTTACATGGAAGCTTAAAACGGCTCACGGACATGGTAATCTTGCTTTATATGTTTGTACCTTGGAAAACATTTGTCTTTCAATGTGTTTAGGGAATGTTTGGGTGTGTGTTAAAGTTACTTAGTTGATCAAATGTAAGCAGTGTGAGCGTATACATGCTGGGCAAGGCTAACTGCTAAGTGTGGCCCTTAGATGTGTGTCTTAGTAAGTAATTTATTTTATTGTAGTTACAATGAGGAAACATTTATAAAGATCTTCATTTAAGAAAAGCAAGCCTTTGGTGAAGATTCTTGAGTTCAAGTTGTTGGCTAGCTGCTAGCTACAAGTAGCTAAATGCACTAAGGATGGCAGATCCTCTATACACAGGGCTAATTCCTAATTATTCACAAGTTGTGCCAAATAAAAGTAAAATATCTCAAAGGCTAAATCCCAGACCTGTACATTTTTTCAATTTTGAGAGAGGAGATGAAGCCACAGAGTTTGATGTTTAATTTGTGTATGGTTTGTAAAGGTTGGGTCACTGAAGGAGTAATAACCAATACCAATATTTTCTGATTTTTATGCCAATATCGGACAATAATTTTGATAGACTGATAATATCAGACATCCCTAGTTTCAAGTCTATTTTGTAGCGTAGTTAATCTACATAACTAGAATTTAACGCTGTTTGCTATCAGCTTTGTTAGATCCTGAGAAAGATCAAACAAATTAGCATATGAAACTTATATCATGTGTAGATATCCACGGATATCTATATAAGTGATAGATGTTCATACACCAACTGGCTTGGTCTATATTTAATCCAAAGATTAATATTTAATTTAAGAGATTTAAATTAATAGCAAAAGTTTATTTATTAAATCAGAAGATTTAAAGAAATTTTTGCTCGTTCAATAACCAAATATACACCACTCTGTGTTTCATTTCAAAGAAGAGTCAGGTTTTAAAAGTTAAGAATTTATTACTAACATTTAAAATATGACAATTTAAAAGACAATTCATAAATGACAATTTATAAAAGCTTTGATATTAAAACTTGGTATTAAAGCAACCCTGTGTCTGGATTAACTAAAATGAGATGTGTGTGTTTGGATGTGTGCATGTAGTCTCAGAAGGTTTCCATAAGAGAGAAAATGTGTTCTGGGTGAAAGAGTTGTTTTGCAGCTGAGCTAAGTTAATTCTTAAAGAAACAGGCACACAGATGCAATCTGTCGGAAGTGTCTACCTCACCCAGTTAGGAGACCCCCTACTTGGATCCAAGATGTCAGGAGGAGATGATGACCTCCAAGCACGAGGTGGGTAGAAGAACCATGGTGCGACCAAATCGGTCCTGAGATGTCTCCGGGTCACAACGACTGATGAAACTGGTTGCGTCTCAAAAATCAATAACTCTGAATGAGTTTTGCGTCAGCTTGTTGCAGATGGCGTTTCTGTGAAGCAATTCTATCAGCGTGACAGAACAGCTCAGTGGAGGCTTCGAGCGGCCGACCCAATCCTCTGGGACTCTCGTCGCCACAGAGATTTTGGTGAGCTCAAGAACTGAACTTGAACTGAGGAGTTTTGGTTTTATTAAACCTCAGGACACGCTGTCTCAGAGATAGAAAGCTTTGGTTATGGAACAAAGACATGTGAGAGCAGTTACCTTTAACCTGATTTCAGTGTCCTGCATGATGTGTATAAGCGCACATGACCTTCTTTATACTGTTAAAGATTACTGATTATCATAAATAATAATTATTTTAACCAAAGAATTAGGGGTGCTCCGATTGATCGGCCACAGATAATTATCGGCCGATTTTCCTGCAAAAGTGTGTGATCTGTGATCGCCGATCACTGCCTTTCATTTCCGATCTGGCACTGGCGCTTACTCTTTCCGGCCGGTAGTTCACCCTTCCGCTTGTCCCCGCTTAGTGCGCATGCGCATGGCGGCAGACCCGCAAAGACAAACATGTCTGCCGTGTGGAACTTCTTAACGGTGTGCGAGAGTGATATTAAGTTTGCGTCTTGCAACACTTGCAACGAAAACATACCCCGCGGAGGAAGCACTTCAAAAAAATTCAACACAACGAATTTGATCAGACATTTAAAGACCAAACACTTGGCGGAGCATGGTGAGTTTTTGAGGCTCACCGCAGACAATGAAAAGAAGCCAGCTAATGCTAATGCAGCCACAGTCAGACGGCAGCTAACGCAGCCGACGCTTGGAAACACTCGCCCATATGAGCGTGACAGTCAAAAGGCTAAGCAAATTACCCGTAAAATCATCGAGTTTATTGGACTAGACGACCAGCCTTTTTCAGTTGTGGAAGACGCCGGATTCCGCCGACGACTAACCCACTTGGAACCTCGCTACATGCTACCGGGACGTAAATATTTCGCCGACGTAGCCCTTCCAGAGCTCCACCAGACAGTGTATTCTTTCATCGAGGGACTCCTTAAAGAAAGCGTCTCATCCTTTGTGAGTTTCACGTGTGACATTTCTAGCTCAGATGTCAGTCCTGTGTCAGTGCTGAGCTTAACAGCTCACTGGATTTATCTGAATGTATCCTTGGTTACTTAATTTGATTTAGGCGGTGATGTGAGATATTGACTTTTTTTGCACTATTTGTAGCCCAAAGAGAGCCTTAATGTTTTCAATTTCTTATAAATTGTTACTGATATTACATAATTTGAAGTGAAGTAAAACCATGTTTTTTCTGAATTAATATGTAACACATGCATTAGAACTCACCATAGCTAAATGAACAATTTACAGCCAATCTATGTAATTGGTGTCGGTAATCGGCTGATCGGCCTCTTGGCTGATCGGTATCGGTGATCGGCAGATTAAAACCTGATCGGAGCATCCCTACAAAGAATAATAATTCATTTCAGTAATTAAATACATTTATGATGAACCTTGATGATTATTTATGAACCTACAGTGAAAAAAGTTTATTAAAAATTATTCTTTTAAATCTTGAAGTGTCCTTCGTCTTGTGGATGGGACAGCAGTCAGATTAAAGATGGTTTACAGCAGACTGTGTGTCTCCTGTGATGGATAATCTGTAAATAGAAGTACAGCCAGGACAGCTCGACCCAGCTGAGGAAGTGTGACCTTTGGGTCACAAATGAGGCCATTCATGTCGCTACAATTTTTAATGCGCTATGCTTCCAGAATATGTGAAACTCTGCGGTTCAGGTCAGGCCAGACAGGAAGTCATTCGTGAATGTGATGTAAAACATCCAGAACCTTTCTAGATAAAAGTCACGTGCAAATTTCCAGTTGCTTAACTAGAAAAGAAAGTACGACATTTCCTGTGAAACCGCCGAAGTTGAGGTAAACAAAACTAAAAAATAAACCACAGAGATTTTCGGACACACTCTGCAGTCTTTATCACGTGAATTTCCCAAATCACATGTGGTGCTGCAATTCTCCCGTGATTTTGTGACATTGCTGTGTGGAACGCTTTCGCACCTGAAAGACTCGCAGTTGGAAGAGGCTTGCAGGTAAAACGCCTCGATTACGTTGCACGCTGCTCCACATCTGGTGGAAAGGAGGGGTTAGCCTGTGTGGAGGCTGCTTACTGTGCAGGCTGTGTGTTGTACATTCATGGGACAAAGACCGCTGGGAGATGGAGGTGACGGCCTTAAAGAGGAACACGTTTAGTTCCATCCCCGTTACCTGCCACTTGTGCAGCTACCCTTCAGGACTATAAAAACGTCTTCTAATGAACTTTGTTTTGAACTTTATGTTCCTTCTTTCTCCATAACTTAGCATGAACATCACACATTACTGCTACGACGTATTCTTGCACGTACCTGAGCCTCGCTCAGCCCGAGCTCCAGCATCTCCAGGGATTTGCGGATCATGAGTGACTTCTCCTCCACCAGGACCCCCTCCTCGTCCTGCTTCAGGCAGCGCAGTGTCCCTAGCAGCCCATCCAGGATGGAGTGGTGTTCTTGCTTCAGAGCTTCCAGGCCCTGAATCACTTGCTTGGTCCGAGAGATGATTTCATCCTGGGACAGTTTCTCCCCTGGGTCCTCCTCCTCCTTCATACACACCATGGTGGACATGTCCTCACGCATCCTGCAGATATAAGAATCAAACAGAAATCAGTTAGGACACAGCTTAAAGCAGTTCACTTCTCATAGTTGGATCTAATTATAGATTCAATACAGAAACCAGTCTTACAGACATGTAATAACTCAGACTTCAGCGAGAATAACGAACTGCAAAAACTGAAAGAAAGTCAAAACAAACACTGATGATGATGAGCTACAATGTAGCTACAGCTGCCCCGAGACACACCCACAGAGGCGAGGCACAAGCATCCCTCCAACCACCACCAGCAGGCAAGGTTGCTTTAAGTGTCTTGCCCAAGGACACAACAGCAGCATTCTCTGCCGAGAGCCGGGATCAACCCCACAACCGTCTGATTACTGGACACCCTGCTTTAACTCACGGGCTACTGCTGCCCTAAGTTGCTTAGCTAGGATTTTTAAATCTAGCAAAATAATTTGTTAGATTTCTTTGCTAGTTTTAAGAAATCTAGCCATGGACGTAATTTTTTTTTGGGGGGGGGGGCATGTCCCCCCTGCCCCCCCCCCCCTTTTTTTTTTCCAAAGTCAAGTTTTGACCCCTGCAATTTTTACCATCCAAAAACAATATTACGCTATATTAAATTGACACTGGTTGAGCTCTAGGACCAAGCGGAAAACAACTGTTTGTGTGGAAGCCTGTTTCCCATTAGAGCATACTGTAAAGATCCCCCCCCCCCCCCCCCCCACACACACACACACTTCTAAAGTGAAAATTACGTCCATGAATCTAGCTAAGGAACTTTGGCTAAACCTATTTGCTGATTTTTTTTACTCAAAACAAGAACTTTGGATCATATTTAATAGTGCGATTTCTAACAATGTGATCACATGATGGTCGAAGCTGTGGGTTTGTAGCGCTCCTGACTTATCTGTTGTCAGTCCGGGGTTTTCCGGCAGCAGGGAGCGCGTGGGGGGGGGGGGGGGGGGGGGATGGGGGGGAGCTGGAGCTGAGCCCAGCTGAGAGGTGCACATTTTTGTTATTTTCCTGTTTTTCCCTTACATAGATCCGCTACTACAGCCGATACGCGCTCTCTCAGCACCGTGGGTGAGTGACAGACAGACCGACTCTCCAGCAGCGTTACGGGATTTACCAGAACACCCAGGGGACTTGAGAGTGCAACTTCTCTTCTTCTAAAAACCACTGTTTGTGAAAACATGTCGAATATTACCAAAGCGTTTTAATATTGTCAGACAACAAAGATAAAACGAAGACAGCAGAGTGCGTCTTGACACGAGTATTTTGTGGTGATTTTTCTGTGAAAGCCGACTGCCATGGCGACACAGGGGTTAAGAGTTCACCCTCTCATCAGTGGGTTGTCCGCTCAATTCCCTGTTTTCAACTTTTAATTAAAGGTTAGGAACACTGAAAAAGTCCTCTTTTAACGATTATTTCTGAATATAATCGGTCATCCTGAGACTTTTATGCAGGCTGAATGTGAAAATAGTCTCCTACACCAGTGTTTCCCAATTCTGGCCATCAGGACTCCCTGCTCTGCATGTTTTCCATGTTTCTGCTACAGCACACCTGATTTACATGTTTGCATTGCCTCTTCAGGTGGACATCAAGTGCTGCAGAAGCCTGTTAATCACTCATTCATTAAGTCAGATGTGTGGCAGCAGGGAAAAACATGCAGAGCAGGGAGTCCTGAGGACCAGAATTAGGAAACACTGTCCTACACCTATCTCCTGCATTAGCTTCAGATAGAAGATAGAAGATGAAAGTCTAGGACTAGAAAAGCCTGAAAGATCTACGTCACACTGTCCCTTAACTAGAGCTGCCACGATTAGTCACAAGGACGTCGACAAACAAAATAGTCAACTATAAATGTAATGCTCAACGTTGTTTATTCGATGAGCCTTTTTTTTTCTCGCCTGCTGCGGCTGCTTTCAGCTCCAGGCACATGCGCAGTAGTGGCCATCCGGGTCAGCCTTCGAATCATGATCACAGGAGAAAGAAAACATCGTGGCAAGTCAGCAACGTAGCTGAAAGGTTTGGGGCATTTTACAAGGACAAAAGAGAAGCACCAAGAGTGCAAAATCTGCAAAGTGAAACTCTCCTTTCACGGGAGCACATCGGCGATGCACGAGCACCTCAAAAGGAAGCACGTCACGGCGGAGAACGAAGAGTCGCCTCATTAATCCAATTACCTCTTGTTAGCTGGTAACATCAGAGAGTTACTTGTATTCAGGGCCGTGCAGAGACTTTGACGGGGCGGGTGCTCAAAGTAAAAAAAAGGGGGCCCTTATAGAGCAAAACTTTTAAACAGATTCACAATCCAACAAGTTAGAAAATTCAGATAATGAGACCCTTGGGTTCAAACAACATAATAAAAATATATCAAGTAGTGTCATTAATGTTAGTGTTAATTAGGGATGCACAATATATCGAAAAATTATCGTCATCGCGATAACAGGACGTGCGATAGGCCCATCGCAAAACATGGCAAAAACAGCGATAAATGTTTGGTTCAAACATTTCCATCCGTGTCATACATCAGCTTTTTGTAAACCAGCTCTGTTTTTTACGCGGAAGTATTATTTGACCAATCAAATGTAGCCCTTCTGATATGCGGCCAATCATTTGGTTCCGTTCACGTAATACGCCCGCCCCCTACGTAGACCCTTTTGGAAAGCAACACCCAAACAGAGTTAGCGGCGCCGTTCCCGTGTTCGTCATGCTGGCTCAGAGCAACGAACGCACTTTGTGCTGATGTTTCTGGATTCAGCGCTGCTTTCAAGTGTGAACGTGACTCCGCTCGGTGTCGTTAATCATTTTTACCGGGCTGACTCTGACACGTGCCGCTGAACCAACCCACCTTCATGTCGCTAGTGGTGATGTTAGCCCCAGGCTCCGGTTAGCTTCCAGCTAAAAGGCTACAGCACTCTCCTCCCAGTCCCACCCTGCTAAAGAGGGCCTGGAAAAGTTCCCCCACACATCAAAGTGATTTTTCATTCATGAGCTTTTATAACCTTGTTAATCAGGATAGTTGATTTGCTGCTGCACATAAACTGTCAGTCAGAAGCTCTGCTAGCCGGTTATCTTAGAGGAGCTAGTTCAATTTGTTAGCTTGTTATCAGAATCACAGTTGCAGTTTCATCAACTGAGCTGCTTTATAAGATCTAGGTAAACTTGTTCAATTTGGGGTTTAAAACAAACGTTTTCACATATTTTCCATGTAGTTTTTTGCCAGTTCCTCTTCTGAAAGGTAGACAATTGTTTTTCTCTTTCCCTCAGAAAATCTTAATATTCTCCTAGTTTGGCCCAGCACAGTTCACTTCCCAGTTACAGCAACAGCCTTATATCATAATCACATAAGTGGAGAAAATGTTCAGTAGCAATGAGAGAATTTGCTGTTGCATTGAAGTGATGTTAACTATTATTTAACATTTAAACTTGTTTTCAGATTTTTTTATTTATTCAAAAAACCCTGGTAAGGGATGTTTTTCTGTATTTGGAGCATCAGAAAAAGTTTTATGGTGGAGGTGATGTTTTAAAGTCACTGAGAAACTGCATGCATGCAGTTTGTTGTTTTGCTGCTAATACAGTAGCAGGTGCAGCTGCTAATACAGTAGCAGGTACAGCTGCTAATACAGTAGCGGGTGCAGCTGCTAATACAGTAGCAGGTACAGCTGCTAATACAGTAGCGGGTGCAGCTGCTAATACAGTAGCAGGTGCAGCTGCTACTACAGTAGCAGGTGCAGCTGCTAATACAGTAGCAGGTGCAGCTGCTACTACAGTAGCAGGTGCAGCTGCTAATACAGTAGCAGGTGCAGCTGCTACTACAGTAGCAGGTACAGCTGCTAATACAGTAGCAGGTGCAGCTGCTAATACAGTAGCGGGTGCAGCCGCTAATACAGTAGCGGGTGCAGCCGCTAATACAGTAGCGGGTGCAGCCGCTAATACAGTAGCGGGTGCAGCCGCTAATACAGTAGCGGGTGCAGCCGCTAATACAGTGGCAGGTGCAGCCGCTAATACAGTGGCAGGTGCAGCCGCTAATACAGTAGCAGGTGCAGCCGCTAATACAGTGGCAGGTGCAGCCGCTAATACAGTAGCAGGTGCAGCCGCTAATACAGTAGCAGGTACAGCCGCTAATACAGTAGCAGGTACAGCCGCTAATACAGTAGCAGGTGCAGCCGCTAATACAGTAGCAGGTGCAGCCGCTAATACAGTAGCAGGTGCAGCCGCTAATACAGTAGCAGGTGCAGCTGCTAATACAGTAGCAGGTACAGCCGCTAATACAGTAGCAGGTGCAGCTGCTAATACAGTAGCAGGTGCAGCTGCTAATACAGTAGCAGGTGCAGCTGCTAATACAGTAGCAGGTGCAGCTGCTAATACAGTAGCAGGTGCAGCCGCTAATACAGTAGCAGGTGCAGCCGCTAATACAGTAGCAGGTACAGCTGCTAATACAGTAGCAGGTGCAGCCGCTAATACAGTAGCAGGTGCAGCTGCTAATACAGTAGCAGGTACAGCTGCTAATACAGTAGCGGGTGCAGCCGCTAATACAGTAGCAGGTGCAGCTGCTAATACAGTAGCAGGTGCAGCTGCTAATACAGTAGCAGGTGCAGCTGCTAATACAGTAGCAGGTGCAGCTGCTAATACAGTAGCAGGTGCAGCTGCTAATACAGTAGCAGGTGCAGCTGCATATTTTTGCAATAAAAATGTTATGTTGTAACGGAATTCATGCATTAGTTTTTGTTTGCTTTGAACCCAGAGCAGACGTCACACGCCAGACGACATCAACACTGCATACTTTAGTATTTGTTCATTTATCGCGAGTAATATCGATATCGCAATATTAAGCACTGTTATCGAATATCGCAGGTTTTCCTAATATCGTGCAGCCCTAGTGTTAATGTTAGTTCATAAATAATAGTTTTAGTTTTTAAAGCTGACTTGTATCTAGAGAAGTTACAACCACATTTCTGCTCCTGATCTGAGTCCAAGTTGTTTGATTTTGGATTATCTTCCTATACTGAGTCCTGTTC